CCTACAGTATTTTTACAGTCTTTATTTTACAGTTAAAATATGTTTATCAAGTAAAGTYTAATGTTACAACTAATCATGGATCCCTTTGAAAGCCACCTCATGTGGACAGGTTAAATCCAACCTGTTTAAGATGATGTCATAGTCCCGCCTCCTGACCTACGACACCAAAACTGAGATGATTTCTTGTTTATGTTGCAAAGAAAATAATAACACATCAAATAATCTAAGGCCAAAAAGCGTTTTATCACTTTATTGAACTAAAACAAATGTTCTTTAGRCTGCTCCCTTCTTCACAGATCACCACAGGAAGTGACATCATGTGAACAATTTTTTCCAACAAATCCCTTTCCTGATGCAACATGGATTCTACCCTTCAGTTAACCCAAATATTACGTTAAATAATGTAAYTTGATCCCTTTAAACACTGGGAGGAAAACTGGTATAGATGGTTTCATGTTCCCGTGTGGGCGGAGTCACGTCAAATATCTTCACTTGCTTTAAGGACTCACTTATTCTGGATGTTTCACAGAATTCACTAACAGCTTCTAAAAGCTAAGCTATCAAATAATCTACTGACAAACTTTACCAATAATTTGGTGGAAATTTTTAATTTTGCTTTTTTTAACGAGAAGAGTGAATAATCTTCTGGTTAAATGAACTTTAAAGCATTATAAATGTAGAATAAATTACCTTTTACGTGGTTTTCTGTTTTCCTTTCTGTGGACTGTCTGTGRATCTTGGAGTGATTTTCTGTTTTGTTTTTGTGTTTAATCCAGGGTGGACCAGATCCTCGGGAAGGGTCAGATCCCTCTGGATAAGAAGATCCGGGAGAAGCTGTTGTCTGAAGGGGAAATCCTGGAGGACGTGAGCATGTTGGGCCGGGTGTGTAAGGTGGAGCGGCAGGTGAGAGCTTTAAAAAGACCATTAGAACACCTAATTTACACTGCATGGTCCGGTCCGGTCCGGTGTGAAACACAGAGGAGCTCAGAGAAGTGTGTGCAGGAAATGAGAGATCACTCAGTAAATGATAAATGTGGAATCAGAGCAAAATAATTCATTCTGTGGAAGACGCAGTGATGTTGTGCTCGACACAGTTTTGAGCAAACGAAGCAGCAGTGTGGTGAGATGGTGTTTGGAGCGCTGCTGATGATCACGTGACTACTCCTTGTTACGTCACTCTGCTGTTTCAAGACTTTTGAAAAGGACCTGATTCATGTTAAAGAGTCTTTAAAACTGGAGAGGTAGCAGCAAAGAAAAGCAACAGATTGACAATCTCAGCTGAAATAATCTTGTTTTAAATAAAAATTATCTTTAACCCCCACCCCACCCCCTACTGCATGAGAATTTCCATTTTACTCCTTATTTTAAAATACTTTTTAGTGATTTAATGTTTCTTGCCAAAGAGTATTTCTGTAATGATCCCATTGAATAATGAACTTGTGTTTTAGGTATTGGTATTAAGTACAGGTGCTGGTCATAAAATTAGAATGTCATGAAAAAGTAGATTTATTTCAGTAATTCCATTTAAAAAGTGAAACTTGTATATTATATTCATACATTACATACAAAC